ATTGGTGTACAGTTGACCAAGAAATCTATAATCACTTACGTTTTACTGCAGGTAACTAAATGACTAGAAGAGAGAATATCAAATGTGCACATCATAAAGAAATGATTAACTTTTGCAGTGATGAGTAGGCTAATTACCCTGTATAGATCAACACACATTGTATCCATGTATTGAAATACAACTCTACCCCATAAATATGTACAATCAATATGTTTCAAATAAAATAAATCAGTGTGTGTGGGGGAAGGTAGAAGCAGTGGTACTAAACAATATATGGTGTGTGGAGTGGCACAAATAATATAGAAATATTTGTGTTAATGGTACATATAATAGAAAAGGGAATTCTGTGGTGAAAGTCAGTAGGCACAGTGCACCTGGAGGAATGACTTGCATTAATTTAGAATGGTTTCAAGTAAGCTTTTGGTAACTAGGAAGATTTCTTTCTGTAATCCTTTCCTAAGTCTGATTTTAGAAGGATTGTGTTAAAGGAAGTTTAAATATTTTATACTGTTCTTAAACACTTTTCAGATTGTATTAAATCTTTTATTTATGTCAGGCTGTGCACATCATTGGATCACTTTCATTTCTTAGGATGATTAGATATAGAATATTCCTACTGTTGAACCTTCAGGGCCAGGTGTTTGTCAAGCAGTGGCTGAGAAAACCTTTTTCCCCTGTGTTTCCAAGAATCCTCTTTATTAGCTAAGTGGTAAGAAATGCCACCTGGTGGTTGTAGAACTATGATCTTTCTCACTGTTCTTGGTGCTTTTTTCCTCTTCATTACAATTACATTAAGACAACTGGTGTAAACTTGGAATCTTCACGCTATGTTACAGTTATGTACTGCATAACGATGTTTTTGGTCAATGACAGATCACATATATGACTGTGGTTTCATATGATTATATTATTGTATTTTTTCTGTACCTATTCTATGCTTACATATGCTTAGATACACAAATACTGTTGTGTTAAAATTGTCACAGTATTCAGTACAGTAATATGCCCTTCAGGTTTGCAGCCTAGGAGTAATAGGCTATACCATATAGCTTACATGTGTAGTAAGCTATACAACCTAGGTTTGTATAAGTACATTCTATGGTGTTTGCACAATGATGAAATTGTCTAAAAACACATTTCTCAGAATGTATCCCTGTTAAGCGATGCTTGACTGTATTTCAGTAAGTTCAAAAATAGCAAAGTGATCACTAAACCATTTGGCACAATGATTCCCATTTGGAGGAAATAAGACTAAGTGAGTCTTGAAAAAGATGCAGAAAGTTCCACATCAGTCTTTAAATTCTGTAAATTTCAAATAAGAGGAACTGTGAAATCCATGAGACGTGTTGATTCTTTCTATTCTGTTCTCCTGAGCCCTATCACAAAGGTCAGTACATAGTAGATATTCAATAACTATTTGAAATGAATGAATGAATGAAATGTGTGTGATGTTATTGAGTACAGAGTTAGAATTGGCAACATGACCCAAATTTAGAAGCAAATGAAATAATTATAATTCTCTGAACCTGTGGGTGCTATACCATTGAAGTATATGACTAAGATATTTCTAAATTTATAAAATCACAGATAAATTTACTTTCAGTTGCTTGTATTAACAAAACTTGGTGCCTTATACCAAAGGAATCAAGACTTGCCAACTTAAAGGATAATTTTGTGAGTTCAGAACTTGATATAATTAGGTGATAGAATAATTTATCATCAAAACCGGTTTGCTTGTGAAAATTGAAGGGTTCAAAGCTATTAATAATTATGTTGTGACTATAAGCATAAACTGGGAGTGCCCCAGCAAATGAGGATGTATGATCACCCTTCTCATAACCTGCCTGTGTTTTATTTTTTAGCTTCACCCTGTTTATAAATTTAAAATGTCATAAAGTACCACAGATTTCTAAGAGAAAAGGTTCTATTCATTTCTGAAGTGAAAGTTTATTGTTACTTTATTCTATATTCTATTTGTGGAAGCAACATTCTTAAATGTGACTTTCTAGAAGGTTGGAGGCAAAAGAGAATTTCTAATGATTTTCACTGCTAGCATGTTACTGGAATAAGGAGTTTTTAGTAGGGAAAAAAATGGGATATTTGAGCTGGAAGGGTCTAACATATCATGTAGCCCTCTTCAACTCTTTTTTTTTTTTTTTTTTTTTAATGAAAAACTGAGCCCTTGCCAAAGTCAGCGGCAAATCTGGGAGTAATGCCCATGTCTTTGGAGTTCTGTATAGAATTTCTTTCAATTGTTGCAATAACAATACAGTAATAGTTGAGACTTTTCAAGTGCTTACTATATGCCATGCATTACATTTAGCACTTTACATGTTCAATCTCATTTGATCTTCACAGCAACTTAATGACATTTGGCTGCTGTTATTGTAGCCATTTTATATATGAGGATACCGAAGCATAGAGTTAAATAAAAAGCTCAAAATCTCACATTTAATAAATGGCAAAGGCAGGATCTGATCTCAGACAATCTGATTCTGTGCCATATGTTTTTCACTACTGTGCTGTTCTTTTGCCTGATTTTTCTATTAGTTTCTTGAAGATAGGTCATGTTTCCTGCTTATTTCTTTATTTTCATAAATGCATTACCTGTGCTCTCATACATTATATAGCTTGAAAACAAACCCAGCTTTCTTTTCTTATGAGCTGTATCCTGAAAACTTCTGACTTTGTCTGCATGTGCAGTTAAACATGTATTTTATTAGTGTATTTATAAGTAGTTTGATTAAAGCTCTTAAATTGATGAAAATACTTTGTTGTGGAAGTGAGAATGCACATGTCCTAAGAACTTCTCATTTTTAAACTTTCCTTATTCTCAGTCTTGTATTTGTTAGTACTTGCATATTAACACAGGTATATTTATATTAAGGCTTCGTTAGAGAAACTAAACTCTTTATAAATTGGCCTGTTCATCTCCAAGTCATTAGGCAGGCACTCTAAATTCAGAGAAGAGTCTGACAGTAAGCTACAAATCAATGAAACCAATTTTGGGGTTACATTTTAAAATAGTTC